ACAGTGTTGAGTTTGCACTCGAACACCGGCGGACCGATCTCGACTATGCCGATAATATCGCCTTACTAGTTTCCAGTTTTGGTGATCTGCAGTCTGGTGTCACGCGAAGTCGGTCGGTTTACCCTTAAACCCTAGGGAGACTAAAGAGTTTTCAAGCTGAATTCCTGACCAGAAGACGGCACCCCTCGGGGTTGATGCCTGTCAACTTGAAGAAGTAGACAGTTTCTTGTACCTCGGGCGAGGCTGCTGCCGAATGGACAGACTAAGGTCGGCATTGTCTCCTGAATTTATGCTGCCCGCCGAGCTTTTTCAAACCTTGAAAAACTCTTAGGGATCCGACGCGACATCCCCATCACCACTAAGATTCGCGTGTACAGTGCATCCATCCGGTCTGTCCTTCTCTACGGTTGTGAATGCTGGGCTTTACGCGTGAAGGACGGGCAAAACCTGGAGGCATTTGATCATCACTGTTTAAGGACCATCCTTCGAGTGGAGCACCGCGACTTCGTCTCGAATAAGACAGTCGGCACACGCTGCGACAATGTCGCAAGGATAACCAAAGCCATCAAGAAAAGACAACTGAGGTAGTTTGAGCATGTTAGTCGTCATTCACTTCAGGAGTTCGGTGTTGCTGTCCTCGATCCGACACCATTACTTCATTGGAGGCGTCTAAGAGTGGGTCAATTCAAAACCTGGCTCGACACATTTCGTCAAGACATGGAGATTGTTCTTGGACCTTCGGCATTCCGTCTATGTCGTTGGAGAAGAGAATGGGTTGAGATGTCCAGGTCTGTTGCCGTGGATCGTCACGCGTGGAGAGGTACAGTTCGCGACATTATGGAGGCCGGTTCGATCAGGCATAATCGCAGCCATATCGAGTACAAGTAGTGCAGTACGTGGCCTATCTCACGAACCCTGGTGGTAGAAACTGATATGAGAATTTTCTGACGTCTAAATCGTCACGCATTTTGCTCGCCCGTTAACTCTTCAAGAAGGTGTCTTTTTATTGTGGAGAAAACGTATCCACGTCATTTTATCAAGTAAACTGTTGATACCTATCCAAGACTTCTGCTGCACATCTGAGTGTGTTTTCCTTTGAGAGGAGAGTAATTTTCCCTCAAGAGTTTTACTAAAAAGCGGAAAAAGCTACCTGAAAGCTGATTTTTTTGTCCGATGCTAACCGTGGGAATCAGTTTCATAACACAGGTTATTTCTAGAGAACTAGGAGTTTTGTCGGTTTTCAGAACATCTATGAGAAATCGGATTAGCAAATGTATGCGGCTTGGCGCCCTAGAGTGCATTAATAACACACACAGTCAATTCTTCGTTTGAATGGGCCGCAAT